CGAATCAATAAAGAAATTCAGACCAAGCCAAGCACAAAGAATTAATTAGCACAGATAAGTGGTTAGAGAAGCATGGAAGGGCAAGGATGGTAACTGAAATCCAATCTGTGGCTACTAAAAATTGCTGGATGTGTCCAGAAATACAAAATTGACCTCGATTTGCTCAGCCTTCGTCTGCCTTGAACATAATTATCGGCAAGTGTTCCTCCGGCCACAAAGCTGCTTAGCTCTGTTTCTCTCTATCCGATTCGACTGTTGTTCTTTAAAGCCCATTTTCTGTTGCTTATTTATGCGCAACAGTTGGCCTGTTGTCTTGGCTAAAAAACAAAAGTGAGCCGCCTTGTCTTTGATGCTCTCTGCGGCCGCCAGAAGTATTTCATTTTATTGACTTGCGACCGCGATGAAAGAATAATAATAACACGATGATGGGGAATATTCAAATGAAAATCGTAAACAATTTTCTATACAAAATAGGAAAAATATTTGCACTCGAATAATATTTTCAATGAATTTTTTTTTCTGTTGCTTTGATAGGTATTTTAAACCAAGATGATTAAAATTATATATAGATAATATTTACATAAAAACTAATAAGTATGAAAATAAAATTATTAACTGTATATTTAGTTTATTAACTTAGCTATTAAGAATTGCTTTTAAATTAAATTTTTCTCTTGGTTCAAAAGGTATTTTAAATCCAGTTGATTGAGATGATATATGGACAATATTTATATAAAAGCTTTAAAGAATGAAAATTATTTTATAAATGGGTTATAAATTTCATACTTTATTTCATCATTTAATTATTAAGTTAAAATTTAATTTAAGTTAAATTTAATAAATGTTTTTCAGTATTTAATAGAGCATTTTCAGTTCGTTATTTGCTACTTATAATGGAGAGTGCCCACCCCCCTCCAGTTCTCATAATTCAGATGCTTTTTACACAAAACGATTTCGAATGCCAGATCTTGGCTGAGCAAATGCTGAGTCTTTGGGCCATTTTTTGTAGGTCGCTGTGTTTTGGTGGACGGTCGCCCACGCCAACGCCTTCACTTTGACATAGACTCGCAGCCTCATAGACTCATTCCCAAATAAATAGATGTCCACAATCACATTTACAATCACAAAACACAAACACACGCACATTCTGCCGACACTGAGCTCCGAGCTGCTCAATTAATTTTGATTGCAGCCTTGGCAGCTGTTTTTGCTTATTTTCCGTACACTCATAGAAATTTTTACCTAAATACTAGAAAAGTCGCCCTAAAACCGAGGTCGCCCTAAAACTACGAAAAATTTTCTTATTATACGGGTGGCTAGCCCTAAAGTTACGAAAAATCGCCATGGAAAATATTTTTTAGGGTTAGTTTTTCCAAAAAGGCCAATTTGCCCTGTTTTTTAGGGCGAATTTTCATGAGTCGACTCCAAAAGTAATTCCTTATTTTTAGGGCGAAATCGCCTTAAAACGTTGAACAAAATAGCAAAAAAAATGTTCTGAAATTGCCCTAAAAACAAGGAAGAGTCAAACGAAATTTTAAGACGCAATTAATGGATACATATGTAATACATGTGTGTATGTGTGTGTGGTTGACAGGTCAAAACAAGTGAATGTGTGTGTATATTAGGGCGGACCTTTTTCTATGAATTTTGATGCTGAGCGCATTTGACTTTAGAGAAGTCCACCCTTTTTCTTCTTCTTTGCTACTTTTCGTCCGCTGCAGTGGCAAGGGTGGGGGTAGAAAGAGTTGCATTGTCTAGACTTTGTCATAATTTTTCGGGCGCTTGGCGGCGAAAGACGTGTTTGTGAAAAAGTGAAAAATGTAAACGCTATTAAAGGACTTGGGAGGCGATTCCTTCTCTGTTTTCTGGTGAGTACATACATATATAATTGTGCAATTTGGATATTAATAACTAATTGAATTTACATATCTGTAACAGAGGAAAATGCAGCTGAAACTTAAAAAGATTTGACTGGAAGCAGCGGTCCAGATGTAGAGTTTTGGAAGTGTGGCAGAACAAAGTAAGAACATTAATAAGAGTATACATATATGTATGTGTATATGTAAATAATGCTTGAGGTAAAAAAATGATGCAACAGAATATACACATGTATACAGATGTATATATTTACCAGAAATCTGTATTTATGCACCGGACAAACCGCATTCACAAGTGCATATGCCAAAATAACCCCCAAATTTCTATTGCGTCATTTCGTCAGTAACCGAAATTTGCTTTTGTTGCTTCTTTTTTTCCAGAAGTAGCAGCAAACGCAATCGCAGGCTAAATGAAAATTCTGACTGTTAGTAGTGCATTTTTATATTAATTTCTAACAATTTTATTTCTTGTTTTAGATTGAGAACGTCTTTGAGATCCAGCTTCCGCAAACCACTTTTCGCACTTTTTAAAAGCGAAAGTAAGGGAATAAAACTGGTCAAATCTTTGGAAAGCCACGCTGAAGGTATGTGCTTTTTCTCTTTTTCTTTTCTCATTCAATAAATAGACTGTTTTTATTTAATAGAGATACAATCAACTTTAATTTGGCTTGCGATCCATTCAGTGTTGGTGCGACAGCAATGACAAAAAAGGACGGCGGGAGCAAGAACGCGAAGCACACCATTGCGGACCCGCGAAGCCGTTTCTTGGTTTGGAAGGCTACTGTTGGGGAACTGCAAACACATCTAAAGGCATTGACGGAAAATTGCTAATCCGGAAAGCCGAAACTGCAACCATTCAGCTGCAACGTGGGAACAAGTCCTTTTTGACCTTGGTGAATTTCCAGTTTACCTATCAGAGGTTTATTTATAGAATGCCAACCTTATTGAAAAGTATTGATGTGTGCTTCAAAATATTTTTTGTTTTAAACCACGACATTTATCCAAAAAATGTTTTATGAAATTCATTTAGAGTCTGATAAGAAAGGTAAAGCTTTATCCGAACTCTTGAAGGATTATAAAACCTTAAAACTGTAACTATTTTAAAGAAACAATCTGTTCATTCCAAAAAAAAATATTATTTCTATGCATTCAATTAGAAGTCAAATTTGATAATCAGTACTTATTGTAATAAACCTTAAAAGACCTAAAATTCCCTCCGGCGGAAGCACAAAACCTAAGGACCAAAAAATACATTAAGCCAAAACATTATTTTTAAGATCGATGTAATTCTTTTAGCAATAAGAATAAGTAGAAAAGTATGTAAATGTATATAATTAGAAATTGTGTAAATAACAACAAACAAAAATATAAAAAAAAAAAAAAAATATAATGAAATCGTATTTTTATTTATGAAAAAAAGCCGGGAAATTTTGGGGAGCACTTTGCTTTTTTTAGGGCAATTCGCCTATAAATCCAGAAAAACGCCCTAAATCTATAAAAATCTTCCTTTAGTTTCAGGATATTTTTTCATATTTCTAGGGCAATTTGCCATAAAATCCAGAAAAACACCCTAGATTTATGAAAATCTGCCTTTAGTTTAAAGGTATTCTTCCGATTTCCAGGGCAATTCGCCTATAAGTCCAGAAAAATCGCCCTGGATTTAAAGGAAACTGCCTTTAGTGTAAGGGTCTCATTTCCTATTTTTAGGGCAATTAGCTTTGAAAATAGAAAAATCGCCCTAGATCTACGAAAAATCGCCCTAAATGTGTGACAAATTCACCCGTATTTTTAGGGCAATTTGCCCTAATTTTGTTGCCTAGTCGCCATTGACCCCCGTTTTAGGGCGATTTTCCTTGTTTTTAGGGCGATTTTACCGGAAAATTTCTATGAGTGTAGGTGTTTTGTTTGTGCTGCCGCCTTCACACTTTTCATCGAGGACTTTCCACAGCCACAGTTCATGGTGAAGTTCGTGTTCGCTTATCCATAAATTTTCATATTCGAGCATTTTGTTTTCGTTGTGTGTGAAATAAATAAATAAGAAAATTATTCATTCGGTTGGGTGAGAAAAATTCATTGAGCGATCTTAGATGATGCGTACATATACCACAAGGTTGAGGTTTATCAAAGATTCCGTTTTTCATTTGATATACGTAGAAAATGCAATTAATTAAACCAAAGTGAATTTATGATGTGAAGCGAATGATTTGGTAAACTGTGCATTTACGAGATCAATAAAATGGACACTGCTGTCTTGAATTTTCTAAATAACTTAATAAACTCAGAGGGTCACGCCCAGCTAGAAACGTCAGAAATTCACAGATTTATGAGCTTCAGGTGTGAAAAGATATATGTACACATTCACGCACCATGCAATTTGTTTATGTTTATTTCGAAGAGATTTTATGGGGCACCTTGCCTTTAAACTTAAACTTGAACTTGGCCGTGCTTTTGGCTAGATAATTTAATTACACTTTCGCATGATGCAGCGAAATAAACAAATGGAAGCTTCAACTTTGTTGTGTTGCGGCGTTTGCTTTTAGCCAAATTATTTGCTGCCAAAAGTTTGTCATACGAGCAAAAGTTTTAATGTAATTACAAATTGATTTTAGTTTCAATCTACCAAAAAAAAGGAATGAAAACCTCCATGGAAAATCTAAGAATAGCAAGTTATCGGCACTAATTACCCAATGGAATTAGTTTCGAGGTATGCAAACAGCCCACGCAAATATGTATCTTTGAGATACAAGTATGAGCTTTTGACTTAGCATAATTGCTGGCAAATTGCTTGAAATTTGTTCTGCCAAGCATGAAAGCGAAAGGGAAAAGACTTCAATACCAGATATCTGGCACACTTCTGTCTGAGATAATTTTCAATCTTTCTTCGCTGCCCCCTCTGATTTTCCCGAGGTGACGTCACAGAGAGTTTCCGCCGTCGCTGTTGGCATCTAAATTTGTTTTTCCCGCCCCTTATCCGCCATCCTCCTCCCACACTGGCTTTATTTCGGGCGATTTTGGCATCGGGGCAAATCTATATCTGCCTGCTGACGTCGACAGAGGCAGCGGCAGCGGCATTAGCCTAACCTAAAAACATTTTCCGAATTTTCGTATATTATCTTGCGGCTCTTAGGCTAAATGGAAAACTGTTTCAACAAACCTGCGTCAGTTGAAATTTGTGTTTCAAACGCGCCACACACTAATTTGCATTTCACATTCAAATCCAATAAAACACAATGGCTGTAAGTCTCTTAAAACTTTGCAAAGGATAATCAAGTATCCTGGGTGGATTAAATAGGAATTAATAGAAAATAATACAGTTAAATATTTTTCTACAAAGCTCAGAATGCAAGAGTATTTTTATAATTTGATTTATTCAATCTCGATTGCATTTTTAAAGTGAGAATAGCATAAACATAGCTGCAAGCAAGCTACAATTGTTTATAAAATAAAATTATTAAGTTCCTGAAAATATGAAAGTCACGTTCCGAATAAATATACTCAATCAATTAATTTACACACTCGTACACTCGTAGAGGTATCAAATGAAAACGGCGTAAAAAATTAAATCAACAAATTAAAGTGAAGCGAAAAAAGTGCCAAATAATTATAAAATATATTTTTGAAAAAGTGCAAAATAGCAGCGTATTCATTTAATGTGAAACTGCTTATTAAAACAATAAATTGCCCGTTGGTTTATGCCTGTACATACTCTTGATTGTATGTATATGCAAAAATCAGCACAGAGAAATATATACATAAAGCAATCAATATTTGTATGTATTTATAATTAAATAAGCAATTAAAAGACAAAATATTTAATTGCAAACAGCGCGGGCGATTTAATTAAAAATTTCTTAAATTGATTAAATATTTAAATAGTCAATTAACAGTTGGCAGATGCAAGTAGTGTGTGGACATACTACCATAATCGCCAGATCCTGCCCGAGGGCCTTAGTAGAATTTTCTGGCCGCCTTTTTTTCGGCTACATACGCCCCCTCACAGCAGCTGCCAGATCATAATTCATTCTCATATATCGCGTATTTGTGCCATTAATTTTCCCAGTTTTGTTGTTTCGGTATATTAAAATAAAAAATCACTTAGTTGACAGGCTGGCCGAGGGATGACAAAAAATGCCCTTGGGCCCAGCTACTGCCCACTAGTTAACCAGCCATAAATTTGTACCGAATCGATGGGAAAAAGAGCGGCCTCAATTCGGTTGCAAATCACTCAGCAGAACAGGACTTCGCAAAAAAACACTTTTCATGCATAAGTTATTTGGCAGATTCGGAATTCCTTTTACACTTTCGATTCATAATTCATTTGCAAATTTTCCGCCGTTGACATTTGTCTCTCAATAATGCTGACAAGTTTTTCCGACAGACATTCACAGCCGCCGGGGCATAACTTTGTTCTTAATTGAAGGGAATTATTTTCTGAATTATGGCGAGCGATGGCACAGATGCATAAAAAACATTTGCTGAACTCTGTCTTTGGGGGCCATGGGTTTTTCTCTTTGCCTTTGATATATTTTTGTTTTCATAATTAATTCCCGGTGACTTGATGACAATTTGTGCCATAAAAACTTTTCAATTTGTGCATACAAATTAACATGTGATAAATTTCTTTAATGGCACTGTGCATTTGTTATGAACAGTTGGTTTTTTTGTTCTTTAAATAAACGCCATATGTTTATAATATATTTAAAACCAAATGTATCCACTTTTTGTATGACCCTTTTTTGTCAGTAGGAGCATGACATATTTTAAATAATGCCTTTCTATTTGCGGGCTTTGATTTATTGCATTTTTAATGGAAAAATCTGTAAGGATGACTTCATGCTGAAAACAGAATTTGGAATATTTCAAACAATTTCAATGTTTATAGCTGCGGAAAAACAAACTGTTGAGCCAAAATATCGCCGCAAATAATCAGCCAGAAACCCAAACAAATTTTTGACGCTCGTCTGCCGTCCTTTCTTGGCAACAATGCAAAGGCCATAACCATAAAGTCCAAGGGAAGACGCAAAATTTTAATGCACTTTTGCATTGCTTAGCTCGCCTTTTACAATCCACTCAAGGCCAGAAGGCGGCGCCTGTAAAAAATAAACTTTTCATAAGAAACGAATGATATAAAAAACACCAAACAAAAAAGCCCAACTGATTGTCAGCCCCCTTGTGTTTGGGCACAATGTTCATTTCACTTGCTTTTTGGTTAATGTTGGCCAGCATCCGCCAATTGGCAGCCGGCCAAATGACAAATTGAAATAACAGCAGCAAAAATGAGCGTTTATCTTTATGTGCAAATGAAAATTTTTATTTGTGCCAGCAGCCGGAAAAAGGCAAAACAAACTAAAAAGAGGGCGCCTTTCAGGCAAACAAAAAAATATACCCACCAAAGCTGAGGGTTATTTGAAGGTCAGGGGAAAGCAAAAAATATGTTTTGAATAATTCTGATTTAATGAAATATGAATACTTACTTAGGGATACTTGAACTCAGCGTAAAATCTTAAGTCAATGCTAAAGAGTTTGGGATCATTTTACCGAATTCTCTTTCGGAGAATCTTTGACTTCGAAAAAGAGACGAAAAAGCAATATGGCGACTTAAAGTTACTTAAGTGGAAGCGATAAAGACACATTCGAAATTCTATATAGCCTACTTAGAACTTGTTCTTTACGTTTCAAGAATATCTAATTGAGATGCCGCATATCAAGTCAATAGTTTAAGTGGATATTTTTTTTGGGTGTATATTTTATAATGAGTATATATTGGTTATCATAATCAACCAAGGACAAAAGATTAAATATTTTCATCAGTAGCAGTTTAAAGAAATAATAAAATATTTTTTTAATGAATTTTAATTTTGACCAGCTCTGATTTAAAGTTTCAAAGAACGCGAAATTATTTCCCTTGGCTGACTTTCATTTCCAGAGCGTCAGGTTGAAATTAACTGCCAGTATTGGTAGTGGCTGACCACAATCGATATCACTTAGCTGTTCATCACCTATAAAATGATTTTTTAATGCAGCGAACTGGGAACGGCCGTTCATACAGAGAGTAAAACCAACTGTCAAGCGGCCAGCCAGATAAACCAATTAATAATGAGAAAACAGTGCCAAGAGCCAAACGTGAAATGCAATTCTATCAGAAGATCAACAACAACAACAATTCCTGGTTTGTTTGTACATTCAATTAAAAAAAACACCTGAAAATAATATAAAAAACGAGAAATAAACTCGGCTTCGGAATCGAATTGGAATTGAAGCAATTGCGAATGCAAATTGACGTACAATTCATTAAAATCCCCTCGGCTCATTGGTTGCCATTAAAGCGTGCCGATGGCTCGGTTGCAGCTCCAAGCTCAATTTTTATCCATAAATATATACACACAAATTTACGCATAAATACATACCTTAAATAAATAAATAATTTCCCTTCTCGAAATATGAAAATGTGGCGGCTTTTATGCCATCGCCGCGAGTGTGAGTGTGCAACAGACTGTTGTGTTGCACTCAAACAATACCAATAAATAAACAGCGAATAAAATTGCAAAAGTAACAAAAATATCAAGCCCAAAAAGCGCAAGTCAATTGGATTATACCCTGTGAACACGATTAGAATTAGAAAATGTTCAACAAGGTTTTTTAATAATTTTCTTAACAAAAACACTTCTTTTCGCTTTTTACGCTACACAGAAAAACAATTAACAAATGATATTCATATGCGCAGGTAAATTGTATATTCTTTAGAGAAGTTCTTCGTATAATTTTGATATAAATCTTTATATAGTATTTTATATGATAGTTTGAGTCATAAATTAGATATTGATCATATCGGCTTTTTATTGATATGAAATAAGGTAGAATTGACTCTATTTCATATAAAATTTATTTCTATGTAACTTGAAGGTGAAAATGTTGTACTTTTATTTAAAAATGAACTTAAATGTTTTTCACTTTGTCCCTCTATTATTTCTTTTTTGTCTTATTTTAAATTTAGATTCAGAATCTTATAAATTGAAACTGATTTGATTTGTATTAAAAGTAATCCTTATATACCCCGGCAGACCTGAGGTGAAAAGGCAAACACAATGTTGTTAAAATTAAATTGTTAAAAATTATATGTTCGGCTACAAAATATGGCCACCCCTTCTTTATGTTGATGCTATTGAATGTTATTATTTTTTAATGTTTGCACTTTGTGTGCAATTTGACATTTTGCGGGCATTTCGGTTTTTGGCCCAAAAAATTTATTCGATCCTGAACGCCGAACGCTCGGCCACAAATCAAATGACAGCTTAAAATGTACAAACAAAAAGCCGCAATTGGCCAGCAAAGCAATAAAAATAAAATGAAAATAAAAATGAGAATAAAAATGAAAATCACCATGAACAATGCACGATAAATTAGCAGAAATGCGCGAAATATTAATGAGCCTAGATGCATATAAGCATCGGATTTCAATTACGAAAATATTTCAGTCGGGGTAATTGTTGCACATAAGCACTGGCTGGACACGGGATAAATATTTAATGCGCAGATTTAGCATTGTTTTTAATTAGCAATACTTGTTCGGGGGTCAATTCGATTTGTGTGCGCCGCAAAGAGGGGTCGACATTTCTTTGCCCCTAATCAAATTTAAAGCACGCCATTCAGTTTGGCTGAATGAACTGCGTGCGATGGCAATTGACCCAAGAGTGAATTTATTGCCTTCACGTAAATTCCAATTAAACAGTTAGTGGCTTTCGCTGTCAACTGTCCCATAAAATGGTCGACTGCCCGGACAGAACTCGCGGTGTCGGAATCAAAATTAATTAATTGGAAAATGAATCTATTTCTGGGCCAGACCGGGCTCCTTCAGGAGCTTCTGCTTCTGCTTTGATTTGGGCAATTTCCAAGTGGAATCACACGGCCCCCACACGCAGGACACTAAGCCCCCTTGCTGACCTTTGAACTGCGGGGCAATCTGTGCCGGGGATTTAGCCTGTTTGTTTTCTGAGACAATTTCATGACCCTCGGCTCGGCTTGGCTCGGCTGGCCTTGTTTGTCCTGCAATTGTCTACGATTACAGCAAATTGATTTGCCTGGCACTTAGCAGCAGCTATCTTGTTTCAACCGCCTACATCCACTTTTCCACTCGAATCTCTCGTAGCCACGCAACAAGGAACAGGAACAGGAAGTGCTCAACTGGGTGTTCGCCGTCATCGGTGAGAAGGTGCCCAGCGGCCAGTACGAGGACATCCTCAAGGACGGCATCTGGCTGTGCAAGCTGGCCAACAAGCTGGCCCCCGGTTCGGTGAAGAAGATCCAGGAGCGTGGCACCAACTTCCAGCTGATGGAGAACATCCAGCGCTTCCAGGCGGCGGTCAAGAAGTACGGCGTGCCCGAGGAGGAAATCTTCCAGACGGCCGATCTCTTCGAGCGCCGCAACATCCCCCAGGTCACCCTCTCCCTCTACGCCCTTGGACGCATCGTAAGTTTTATTGTAGAGATGGTAAAGATACTCAACAGGAGATTTCTTATTTGTATTAAATTTTATTTTTAGTAAAATTAAATTAATTTAATTCGAAAAAAACTAAAATTTTACTTTATAAACCAAATACCCCATTCATTTAAATTTATCAATTTGATTTTGATAAGTCAAGATAATTTCATAGCAATTGCACATCAAATATTAAAATATATATATTTAATTAAATTAAAAAAAAAACAAGAAAGGAAGCTAGCTTCGGCCAGCCGAAGCTTATATACCCTTGCAGATCATTCCTATTAATTAACAAATCGCAAAAATGTTCAATTTTCTAATATTTCTCATTAATTTTCCGATTGTTCCTATGGCAGCTATATGATATAGTCGTCCGATTTTGATTAAATTAAAATTGAAATTCGGAAATATTTAAAAAGAGTCATATCCTAGAGTAGAACATAATACAATAAAAACCAAAGAAGCTAGAATTTATTTCCTATTACTTTTCCATTAATTTTCCGATCGTTCCTATGGCAGCTATATGATATAGTAGTCCGATTTTTTAAATAATTAATTCGAAATTCAGAAATATTTAAAAAATAACATCCCCAAAAGTAGAAGGTAATATTTCAAAAAACACCGAAGCTAGAATTTTTTAAAGTTTTTTTTCCGATTGTTCCTATGGGAGCTGTAAGATATAGTTGTCCGATCCGGTCGGCTCCGACATATATACTACCTGCAATAGAAAGAAGACTTTTGCGAAAGTTTCGTCCCGATAGCTCAAAAACTGAGAGACTAGTTTGCGTAGAAACAGACAGACGGACAGACGGACGGACAGACGGACATGGCTAGATCGACTCGTCTTGTGATGCTGATCAAGAATATATATACTTTATGGGGTCGGAAACGTCTCCTTCACTGCGTTGCAAACTTCTGACTGAAATCATAATACCCTCTGCAAGGGTATAAAAAGTATTGGCTTTATAATTGGTATAAAATTGTATGACACTTTGGTAAAACTGAACTTTACCTAATAAATTAGATTATTTAAAAAATTTGTATGCAACATTTTGAAAGAGAAAACCACTCAAAGGTTTGCAAAGTTATCTCCCAGACTAGGATTTTTTCTTCAAAATAGCCTCCTCAATATTTGTTTCCTTCCCCTGCAGACGCAAAAGCACCCCGAGTTCACCGGCCCCGCCCTGGGACCCAAGATGGCCGACAAGAACGAGCGTACCTTCACCGAGGAGCAGCTGCGCGCCCACGAGGGTGAGCTCAACCTGCAGATGGGCTTCAACAAGGGCGCCTCCCAGGCCGGACACGGTGGCTTCAGCAACACCCGTCACATGTAAGACGGTGGAATCTTATACCAACCACCAACCCAGCCGAAATCCAAAAGGAAAACACAACAACACTCTCAACACCACACACAAACAAACACCGGAATCTAATTAGTTCAAACAAAAAATGGATTTTGTATCTCGTGCGTTCTGGCGTATGATTTAAGCAGTGCCAAGCTCTAAATGTAATTTATATAATATGAAACAAATAAATTAATTAATTTTAATATAAATGTCAAGTTGTTGTGTTCCGCCCGCCTGCCTGGATTAGCATTATGTTGTTGTTAATTAGCGGACGGAGCTGTGCGACTGTCGGCAGTTAGTCGAGCGGTTTAAGTGGTTTTCCCCCCTTTCCCAACCAAATGGGGCCATTTCCAGCTCACCTCGCATGAGACACCTTTATTTCTCTGTCAGTGGATCTGCTAGCTCCTTCGAATGCCGAGGCTGTTGCTTTTCCGTTGCCTGGTCCACCTGAGATTACACAAATTACAATTTCAACGCCTGCACTGACAGCGATAAGCATAAGAAATGTCAAGGCCATTTGTATTTCTATCTGTGCGAGTGTGTGTGTCCATAGAGACTGAGAGACAAAGAATCAGGTGAGCTGGGAAAAAGCCTTGGAAGTCTGCTTGATTTTCTGCACACTCTGGAAAACTGGGGGGAAAATCTGCTGAAAGATTTTATATCAAGGGTTATTTTAAGAATATTGTTTTTGCCCGAAGAAAAAAATAATTTAGAATTCCTTACACATTTTAGCTTCTGATCTTAAAACGAAGAGTATTTTATTAAGAACTGTGTATTCTTAGATTTTTGCTTGAATATTTGAATTTTAAGATATTTTAAGACGTAATTTAAAAACATTTATTTACCAAATTAAGTTAAAAGATAATTTAAAAACATTATTATATATTTCATAAATTACTAAGTATTTCTTCTATGACATATTTAAAAGTTTCAATTTTAAACGTTTCAATACTACAACTATTATTTTTTATATTTTATTTATTTCATTTTAATTTTTTTTATTATTTTTACTTTTGGAATGTGACCTGTTTAAAGAACTTTCTAACTGTATTAATACTTAAAAACAAATGAATATATACATACTTACAAGAAAGGTTTCCCAGTGTAATCGTTACGTTCAGCACCTTTGAGCTGCAACCGGGAAAAACGTTTATCTTTTCTTGCCTACGCTTCGGACAAAAGAGCAGCACAAAATAAAGAAGAAATAAAAGAGGCAGACGAAAATCGGGGAAAACCACAAGCAACGAACTGCGAATATAATGATGGCCACCGAGCAAACATTCGAAGGAAGAATAAGACGAAGGGAAAACTTATCAGACAGACAGTCAAAATGGCGAATGGCTTACTGTGCATGTGTGTGTTTGCTTATGCCAATGATCAGCCAAAACGGAAATGGAATGTAGGATGGTGTGGGTGTTTGGATGTGTGGGTGTATTGGGGTATTGGGTGCGTGTTTAATTTCCACTTGTCGAGGGCGCAAAAACAAAAACACAAAAGGGCAGACAAAGCGAATGTGCCAGTGTGTTTGTATTAAATGGTCACTTTGACAGTCAACTGACAGCCAGACTGAGCTTGTTCGTGTGTGTGTGTGTATGTGAGTGTATGGTGTTTATGCGTGTGCGTTCCTTACTCCATTAATTTAATTTTATTTATGTTGACAATTGCTGTAACAAACACGCATGTCAGCATGCCCACAGTGAACTAGGGGCCATGGTCATAGATATACAGGGGGACATTCCCTTTCAGCAATGCTGATTGTATTACAAATACTTTTGCAACCCCCTCCACAATGCTCACACATGCTGACACGCTTCAGCAGAAAAGTATACTCTAATAATGCAATTTATTGGCAAGCATACAAGCACAGTTGACAATGACAATTGTTGACTTTCCCTTTTTAGTCGTCTCTTTATTTCATTTGGGTTTTTTCCTGCAGCTTATGCATTCCATTGCCCTATTTGAGTTGTAGTTGTTTCATTGAATTTATTTAATTTATATTTATTGTGGTCAAAAATGACAATTTATTGTCATTTGTATTTATAGCTGGCTGAATGCCTTTCCATTCCCGCCATTTCGACATTCTCTATTTTTATTTTTCTTTCAGCCGCGATTTCCGTCGAATAGGTACTAGGATTATTATTTATTTTGTGGCTCTATAGAATTGATTTCTATGTTTTCTCTCATTTTTTGCCCACTAATTTGTGTAATTGCTCGTAAACGGAATGCGATTATATTTCATAATGTCAATTATGTTGTGCACGCTTCGGGACTTTGTGATTCATTGTACCTATTAATTCTTTTGATTGTGCAATGATTTATTTTCTTGGGAAATCTAAGCAAACAAAAGCATTTAGGCTTCTTAAAATATTTTATTTATTTATGTGTTTAAAATTGTAATTTAAATTTCTTAAAATCGATTTTATTTGTAGGCCATTTGCCTTTGCCTAATTAAGCCAGGAAATAATACAAAGGCTTGCTTCAAAACTGAAAGCCATGGGGATGGAGGGCATTTCAACAGTGGTAACTACGACTTTCTTTATTATTATTTGGCCTGAACATGCAAGCGCATTTATTTTACTGCTAACCAAGATTCCTTGCCGCGCAGCAGTTCGGTTTAGTTTCGTTTCGGTTCGGTTTCAACGGGCCAAGTTGTACAACATATTTCTACCTAATTGCTGAAACTTTGCAACAATTTATAGCTGCATTGCAGTGGCTGGATTTCCACAGGCTCTCGTCCCTTCACTGACTACTGCGGTTAAGTAACTAAATGAAAGAGTTGATATTGGGCATAAATTTTGCCAATGGCAGAAGGTGAACCCGAACCCGAACATTCAAGGTGTGCCGGGGCTCTTGAGCGGCTTCCGCCCATCTGTAGTCCAACTTTTCGGTCACTTTAAGCATATTTCATGCTCAACTGCACACAGAGCACGACTGTAAACAAAGCATCGTGGCAAATGACACTAAAACCAAGCGCATTAGGTTGTCCTTTCTCTTTCTGAGTGCCGGTTTCCCGTCTCTCTCTCTCTCTCTCTCTTATCTCTCTATTCCTCTTGCAACAATAATTGCTGCCGAACCGCTTGCTGCAATCATAAACAAGCCAAAGCAGAAACGGGTTCCCAAATCCGAATCCGAATCCGTAAACCAAACGAAACAAACCGAAGCACGGCAGAGCAGACTCCGACAAATGCCAGTTGAGAGGCGTAATAACAAAGCCCCAAAAACCGGACAGCAGCTAACCGAATAACAAGTGTTGGATAGATTAGATAGATTTTTTGATGCTCAGCAATTTTTAAAAAAAACCTAAAGTTGAAAAAAATATATATATAATATTAAACTAAAAATTTAATATTATTCATATTAAACTAAAAATTTAATATTATTAACAAAAAAATAAACACGCCGGGATCAAATCGATATGTGCATGGTAAATTTCTGGTATTTACACGCATATATATTATACTGAAAATGTAATATTATTTACAAAAAAAAAACACGCCAGGATCAAATTGTTATGCGCATGGTAAATTTCTGGTATTTACACGGAATAGTGCGGAATAGTGCTATTTTTACGGAATAGTGCTTAAGTGCTTAAAGTTAAATGGAAGCGAGAAAGACATTCTTCACATTTCGAGCATATCAAATTGACATGCCCCATATTAACTATTTTAAAAAAAGACAAAAAAAAAAATGCTACAATTCTAGAACTTTAATATAAACTGAGAGAAATCTTGTTTAACAAGATTGCTAGTCAAATTAACCAAAATATGTCCGTGCCCAGATATGCATAGAAATTTGCCGAAAAAGGCTCTACATAACTATAAACCAGCCATTCTTTATATTTACGTGTCCTTTACAGGGTATTTAAGTCCTGAATTACAAACAAGCTAACAGACTTAGTGCAGCTGCTCGATTGCTTGCGCTAAACACACACACGCGCGCTGCTCGGAAGCTTACTTCATATTTATGCGGATAGTTCCTCCGGGCGGCGGTCATTAAGATGCAGGCTCCTTGCCGCTTTGCTCCTCTGTCCCTCCGTTTGGCCGCCCGAGGATGCAGTGGAAAATGATTTGTGCCGGGCATAAACTGCGTGAACTCACAGTACAAATTGACTTGTTACAAAGCGCACAAAAATTCACCTGCCACTGCGGGAATACGTAGCTTTTGCCCGGGGAATGGAATTGGGGCGAAGAGAGAGTGTGCCTGTGCGGGTTTGTAATCAGCTTTTGGCTCGGGGCTCTGGGTTCTGGGTACTGGGCTCCTCCACCTGCAACACTTAGCCGCAGCTAATCCGAGTTCGAGTTTGGGGCTTTGGTTTCCCAGACCTGCCGCCGGCCATAAATCATGAAATACTTTTGGTCGGGCATATTAATAACCGAAAGACAGTTGGCTGGCTTGATTTATGCACGGCGTGGGATTTTTTTTCAATAACCACACGCTAAGATGCTTACCGCTTTTATCGTTTATCGCTGGCATTTCTCTGTCTCCCACATGTGTCAGTTTCGGTGGGAATTTATTCTTTATACCGGGGATCAGTAATATCTAAGGATTATGCAATTGACCACCGAATAATTGATGTGGTGCCCCTTGGTTATTGGAGCATTTTTGCCTTGCTGGTAATATTTATGAGCAAATTAAAAAACCAATTATAATTAATTACCATACAGAACTAGGACTCTGCACAAAATTTTTAGCAAAAATAATTTACATATATTTGGCGAGGGAAAATCAACTAATTACATTCTGAAGACCCCAACTGAACGCAACTATGAACTATGGCGCACTTTTCCGCCGAGAACCCCCTCGCCCATTTAGCAGCCATGCGAACCGACGCAACGCGGCGTATACGTAATCTGCATTTTGCGACGCTTGCCTGCACAAAAAGTTATCGATTTAATTGGTGTTAAAATTTATGCGCACCAAAAATTGTGGCAGCCAATCCCTTTTCTCCTCATCCTTGGGAAAAAAGTTTGTGAAATCCCCGCAAATCACCCTACCAAAAGCCATCAAAGAGCGCTGCGCCAACATTTTTCAAATTATAAAGCCAAATGGTCTTTCATGGCAGCGCAAAATGTGATAGCCCGGTAGGTTATGCTCTTTAATTAGAGTGCATGTAAGATGCATATGATAGTATCATTTACAATTTGCAGGCATTTAAGGGTTTTATTTTACACATCATTTTGAACATATCAATTATCTTAATCTAATCGTA